ATTAATTAATAAAGGCCATCAGAACGTTCAGCAATGAAAAAATAACCCAGACCGTTAAGATTTGGCCGATCAATTGATAACAACATGGTGGTCTCGACTTTGGCTTGGCCGTCCCCGTGGGTCGTCACCGTTGGATCATTCCTCAGCACATTCGGTGCCGCTCTTCAATGTCTATGCAGTAAGTATCAAAAAATTAGCAAGAATAACTTGTAAAGTACCCGATTCCTGATTGAATTCCAGGTGCACCTCGTCTTTTGCAGTCCATAGCAAAAGATGACGTCATTCCTATCCTGGCACCTTTTGCGCGAGTAACAGCCAACAATGAGCCATTGTTAGGGTGAGTTTGGAAGAATTCTGGAAGCCTCCGATGAAGTGGCTAGTCCCTTGGATGGGTCATTTCCTTGAAACTGTCAGTAATTCAGAAGTGCGGTTGAGAGAGTGAGTAAACCACTGCCCTTTCAGACTGCTTCTGACAACATTTATCGCCGAGTTGGCTATACTTCTGGGTGCTGTAGACAAAATCGCCGAGGTATGTTCTGTGGTTTCATGTAGGCTTGGCTGAGAAATAAGTTCCAGCCCTTCAGGTCCTTGACTTCTTCTTTCTGATGTGTTACGCCTTCGTAAACCTGATTGCAGTCCTTCACTCAGTCCTGAAAGTGCCTAACTGGCGACCGCGTTTCAAGTACTTCCATTGGTGAGCTTTATCTGTTTTTAATAGATTCATAAGATTACTGAAGTGCCGACGAGCTTACTACCATTTTCTGAAAGAATGACGAGCAATACAAACAGAAACTTCCCACACAAGTAAAACGCGCTCACTCCACCTCAGGGAGAAAGCTGGCCTAACTGCGTTTAACGGAGTAGTTACAGTTGCCGAATGTCTGACCCAAGACGCTCTAATAACCCACATTCGAGTTGCAAACGGGGGAAATTCGTCGATTGCGGTTCAAGCTACCCCGTTCACGAGAGTCTACCTAGCCTGTTGCGGACTGTCGTTGTGACTTGCGTTTTGGAACATAGCATAAATGGGGGGGAAGGGCGGCTCAGTGTCCTTCGGATATTCTGCAGAATTTAGACATGCCTAACAAAACCCTCATTCAGAGAACTTGGGTCCTTCGACCTTGTAAAGCAAGTGAGAGCGGACGTCAAAAAATTTGACAAGAAAATGAGAATTACAGCATGTAGTGCCTAAAGACGTATAGCTATGCGGCGCCAGTTTGCCTCTTGGGGGGGGGGGCATTTTGCCGTGTCCTCATCAATGCGGTGCGCGCCTGGTCTACCTTGTGGACGTGTCCGCGAGTTCTGCCAGAGAAGCGATAGTGAGAGCCCTCCGTTCACGCCTTAACAAGAGTTCTACAGCGTCTTACAATATGCGACTTGTAATTTAACAGCGGGCAAAAAGAGAACTAGTGATGTTGTGCAAATGCCCCCTTCACAGCCAAACAGCGCCCAGCTGCAGCTAAACATGGTCCGTCGGGTCTTCCAGAAGACAGATCACGGCAACTGGAAAAAAATTCGTTATGTGATGATATTTATTATTTCGCCTTTGGATTACTGCCTTTTTACTCATAATGTTCAGGCTTCTGTCGGCTGATGGAAGAGCATTTTCCTATTGCTTCCTTCATGTATGATTTGCCTCCGACTCGCATCTGGCTTTGCGCCGGGCCTCCTGTGCAATCACCTTCTTCATTTACAAATACGTGGAATGGAAAGGGTAACATAAGAATTTATTTCTATTATCAAAATATAATTATAATGTAAGAGGGTCAGTCGGCGGCGAGACTAGGGGGAGGGGCATTTTGCACTCCCGCTGCTTCACTGTTTCACGACTCTCCTCTGCAAAACTTGTGAATCCTCGTGAAGCTGGAGCAAGCTCGTCAAGCCACCATGGCAAAACCTGCAAAACCTGTCAATCCTTGTAAGCTAGTGGAATAGCTCTCCACATGGCACGGCACGTCGCTGGGAAGTCAGCAAAGTGCTCTGAAAAGCCCCCCCCGGTGGCCAAACTGCACCCTTCAACAGATTGTCATCAATAGTTATCACCTTCAAGGTGCCACGGTGGCCTTGAGGTCCTAGACATGGGCGGAGCAGTCGATAGCATTGTACCTTCCTCACTGATACACACTCCTCCTACGACGGTCAAGAGACTGTCGAGAGGAGAGCACGTCAATAGAGAAAGAACTAATAATTGACTGTCTCCGCCCACGAAATTAGTGTGGAAGTGCCTTTGATATGTTCACTAAAACAATCCAAATGAAACACTTTCCAGAGCTAAAAAGGAATGGGGAGATGGCATGCGCGGACTGGCGTTGTCGACGGCGCAGTATTCGCTCATGAAGGTCTGAATTATTGTTTTTTTTCAGAGTGTTTTCGGGTTTCCCTTTTTTCCCCTCCCTTACATAAAAAATAATTTTAATATTACAGAGATATCAGGAAGTTCAGTGGTTTATTGATTTATTTACCCGTTTGTTATTTTTTTGTTATCCATCTTAAAGGCCACCTACAGCCAAAGTTACAAAAAGCGGGTAAATGTATTTCGGGGGTGCCCAGGTCACGCATGTCTCGTTTCTCCTTGTCCAGCTATGTTTCCCCGGACGCACAGAATGGGAAGGTACGGTAAGTTCTTGCTCGGTGAGAGGGCGCAGAGAAGCAAACATGACATGCCTAGTCGCCCGCTGCATGGCTCCTTCTAACTACATTTGCTTAGAAAAATTAGCGAGCCAATTTTCTATTCCATGAATTTTTGGAAACCTCGAAAAGCTATCCATAATATTTTTGTGTCCGAGACTCCGCGATAAGATTGCTTTCCTAGAGAGCCAACTGGTCACGCTGCGATCAGTTGGCTTTTCAGGCTAACTGGAGCACAGACGTTTCTGCTGCAAACGCTCTGGCGGGTCAGGGAGGGGGGGGGGGGGGGGGTGGGTCTATTGCGACAAGTGCCCATTCTCCACCAATTGTTGAAGCGGGCAAGCAGAAATAGTTGGCAGAAAACGAGTTGACGCCGCCTCAGATCCAGCCTCCCCGAACTCTTTAGCGTCTGCAGCGAAACCGACTCGACTAAAACACTACTTAGCAGCGGTTTCCAGCAAAAAGTGATTACTTTGAGTAAAATTTCGGTGACGTCACAGGTAGAAGACAAGGATCCCCATCCGAAGAATTGGCGTCCTCAACTGCTGATCTGCCTCTCGACACGATGGTCCAAAGGAGTTGCTTGATCTTCGCGCCATGTCAATGCTGAATTTGGACGGCACCAGATTTGAAGGTCAGCTTTTTTCGGTCTATACCAATGTGCGCACTATGCCGATTTCGAATTCGGTTCTCACATATTTGCACAATCGCTTTCAAGGTTGTTTGTGTCCAGCACACATCAACTGGACATCACACTAACTGTGGGCTTTCGGACAGTTAATATTCCTGCGATATGATTCTTTCCTTTCACCCTTCCCCCTCGGACTTTTTCGCAATCAAGAAGGTGCTTCAAGAGACGGCTAGGAAAAAGTGCGGACCTTATAGCACTGGAAAGCTGGCCGCGAACTGAAACAACGCTTTACTGAACGTTCGTAGGCATTCATCAACAGCCCTAACCCAACGGGGACTCGATAGGTCGTCGAGATACAAGGGCGCATACAAGCAGAAAAGAGGTGCAATCTAGCCTTGCTGATGTAAGCACCCCCTCTTTCAGCCACCTCATTTGGCCCATTCCTGTTCCTACAAGCACGAATACAGAGAATGGGGCATAAAAAACAAACACTCTTGAGATCTGGGGACAAGTGACGTCATTTGCCTAGTCGTGAGAATCACAGCGCTGCATTTGCGTTCCTGCCATCTGACCACCGCACCTCTGCAAATTGGCCTATGTTCGTGACTTTCCAATTACTTAAATCATCGCAAGAACTTCATAGGCAGGACAAGGATTAGCGATCGCTTGCGCCTTCCTGAAGGAGTCATCTGACGACAGCAGGGATAGATCACATGCTCAGGAGGTACTTTTGACCCAGGTGCTGGAAGCCACGCCCACAACTGCTTCTGAATAGCCAATAAGCATCGAGGGGTGTGGCTCCCAGTTGACTTAGGTCTCTTATTGGATATCTGCATGATTGGTTTATCTATTTCAGGTGAAAGATCGTCTTGTTAAGGATATGTTGAAAGCCCGACTACGTGGATTCGGAAAGACAGTGTTTTATACGCCGGATCAGGTACACGGTTCTATCAGCGACTAAGGAATGACCTGTTTTGAAGGGTGGAACTTTTGGCCAGGAATCAACTCTGCCAAGCGTCCTGAATAGAACCCTAACATCCGTCTGTAGTTTTCCTTTTCTTGATAAGCGAGTTTTTCTAAGATGTCAGTACTTTCTGGCACACCCGCAGACCTGTCCGACTGCATAGCATTTCTGCTCTAAGCGCAAAATAACCATTCGCCGTGCACGACCAAATCATGCGTTAAAGTGGACCGCTTTTCGGTTTAGAAGAGGGGGAGGGGGCATTCGGCACATCAGCCAGATCCGTTTGCTGCCTCATGTTAATTAACAGGTCGAGCTTTAATAAAAGGTGTAAACTCTTGTGAAGTTGCAAAATGGTAAAAAAAGAGCCAGTTTGCAGCTTTACAAGAATAAGTCACAGGAATTAATAGGTCTTTACAGGACAGCCTGTACAAGCTTCGCTGAGTACTTCTAAGTGCCCCCACCAAGCAGAACTGGGACTGGTCGCTGTGAAATCGCCTTAGGATCTGATAAGATTAGGTAGCATAAACGCCCAAGCAGTTCCTGATCTCGACTGTGATTGCGCCAGAGACCTGCCACCATTCCTTCTGTCCCCTCGAAATATTTTTCGGAACTCATATCGATTCGATTTAAATTAGGATGTTCCAGATGAGCGGCTTGTGTATCTGCTCTCTACCAGTCGATAGGGATAGGTGGCTTACGACCAAATACCGTGCTTCTCAACTGGCCGAAAACCGATGATCTTGAAGAAGTGGACTTATTTGCTGGTGAGCTTACAGTTACCCTTCTTATTTCGGTAGCCAATGGCACAGTCTACGCTTATGGGCGTGGGCGTGTGGTTAACTGACGTTGTGCGTTCTTGAGGAAGGGCGCACCCGAAGAGAAGGCACAATCGTTGGCTCCGCCCACGCGAATTGCGTGGACTCTACTAGGGAAAGCCTTCTTCTGAAAAACTCGTGTTCTAGTTGCCATAAAAAATTGACAATATTCAACAAAGGAATCTAACTTAAATGAGTAGTCGTTTTTTAACATGCTGATGTTTTAGTAACCAAGAACGCAGCTCACACTAATAATTACAGAAGAACTCATCTATGGTGTGAAAAACGAAGGTCTGCTTACTGGTTGCAAAAGGAATTACCGACTTTCCAGACGCTAACGATCGACTTACCGGGTTTGGAACCAATTTTCAATGATAATATAATTTCAGTTATAACGTTAAAAAAACTGAGTTAAAAGAACCAGGCAACGTTGCAACGCTTCTCCCTAGGACATCTGCTTATCCTGCCAGCATCTGAACTTTGCTCCCTTTATAGGAGTGGGTCAGCTCAAAGCCAGTTAGGTATCAATCGTTCGGGGACAATTACGAAGTAGTCTGTTCAGAAAGTAGTTCTAAGTCAATAAAATCACAAAAGTCACAATAGGTGCGTGTTCGAGTCCCGTCTGGCGTCTGACTTTTGCCCATCACTTGGCATTCTTGTGATGACTTTCAGAGCGTAATTTTCGGCGCCAAACAGCAGTCACCGTACTAAAACAACTTTAGGAATCACGATGTTAAAGATCCATTACCGGTAATTGCATGAGAGACGATATGGGCGGAGACCTAGCCTTACACGTTGTTGGCCCTGGGCATGTGACAAGGCCATTGTAATATGCCGCGCTATGGCGACCGCCGCGCTGAATGGGCGAGTTGTCCTGCTCAACAGTTTAAATTTGAGCGTTGCAGGGGAGGAAAGATTTGACATGGTCCGTCATGAAGTCTTGTTCTCTCTTAGATTCATACGAGATTCTCTTCCTCAGTTGACAGAGTACACATCCAGTATTTCTTGCGCATCACCGCACCCCGCGTGCGGCGACGCGACAAATTACGACTGTCTTGTCCGTCTTCTCGGCCGCTCATTCTAATACGGTAAAGGTTCTGATACAGAAAGAGGATCCAAATGGAACTTGCTCACTGGCTCACTGTCTCCGCCCCTTTCTCCGCCTACCCATTTATCGTAGAATGCAACATAATGAGAATCATTCTTTTTTCGAGGACTAGCCATCAGCTCTGCCTCCAAAATTCACAAACTCGTAGCAGTTCTAGGAATCCGCAGTTGCGACTGGATACGAGTTCATTGCATTCGAGGGGGCGGAGGAGGGTAGAAGTGATTGTGATAGTGATATTATAAGAAATAAGAAGAAGTGCTTTGAAAAGCGCTTCAGTACTGCCTTCTGCCCATAAATCCGGAAAATGTTTGTAAAATTTCAGTTGTATCGACATCTGGTGGGTGGTTATGGATGGTGGCATTCTAATGCTCATCGCTTATCTTCTCAAACAGCATAAGGTTCATAAAGTCTTTTCATTCATATTCAACACAATCATTTGAACAATTGTTGTTTTAATGCCATATCCATGCCCACTGCATGGGCGGGGTCACCTGTACTATTGGGCCCTCATCATTGGTCGGCTGCGCCTTCCCAGGTAGCTCGGATGAGGGGCACATAAATGAGGAAGAGAGGCTGGTCAGATGACTCCGCCCACTTG